ACTGTGTCTCATTATGTTGCCAGCAAGTCGCTAAGACGATTGCAACTGTAGAAGATATCACCACATATTGCGAGTGCATGATTTTTGCATCTCACCTCAAGCTGGCGCATGGTGAAGAGGGTTGTCAAAAAGGAAAATGTCTAGGGGCTTAGGGTTTACCTAGATCGGAAGTGTGGGGGGCCGAACCCCGAGACACCACTTGGCTGCTGGCGCACTGGGATGTTGCCGAAATGAAGGACGAGAGTGAAACCACTCAGTGAGATGTTAATACCTCGGCAAGGTTGGACTAAGCCCATCTTAAGACAGACAGCACTCGCAGAACTGTGGTTGACGCAGGGTGAACAAAGCTCGTTGCCATCATGACAGCCTTCATCTCTAAGAGTTCAGATGCTAGCGTAGGGAAGGGGGCCTGGACCAGTGGAACCCTACAGTACAAATGGCTTGGCAACGGCGCTGAACCGGCGTTCGAGTCGTTGACCAGACGTTCCCAGCCCATACTATCACGATGCGGAACGGGCAGAGTGGCCATGAATGGGATGAATAAGAACAAAAAAAAAGGATTTGAAAAAAAATAAAAAAATAAAAAAAAATAAGAAGAAGATACCGATTTGACATCGAAAGTGGTAAACAAGCTTACAGGACTTGAAAAAGAAGAACTCGATGTGTCAGAAACCCAAAGGAAGGTTGAAGAGAAGTTATTACCTTGAGTGCCGAACGGTAGATTTCGTAAAGCAGTGATGGTTTGGGAATCTTGAGGCACTGTGCCCTCTACATGTATGAGCTGCGATTGCTGCGCGCAGGAGAGGTGTTTCTCATCCGACAAGCCAAGTATTGCGCTCGTCTCACTGAAGGGATTGGTAACATGTTGATATAAGAACAAGGAATGATGCAGCGGGAGACGAGATGACCTCGGTAAATCCTCAACCCTATCGGGCAGAACAGGGGAGTCCAGGACATTGCACACCCACAGCCCGACAGCGGGATCAGACACAGGGACAAGCTAATGCAGGACCCGCACAGCCCCAAATAGGGGCCAGAATGAGTTACCTAGGAAGAGGCCAATGAGCGAGCATAGTTACCCAGGTGAGGTGGTGAGGAAGGGTTAACAACGATGATTCTTGGCAAATAACTTCTTGGGATATCAGCGTTTGTATGACGCTTGTAAGGTTAAATGCCTGCTTTGGAAACGATGCAGGCTTACTGGAGATAACGCCGGATATGCCAAGGTAAAGGGGAGCCCTCGTCTAGAGAAAGCCCAGGCACCTGGGTCTTGGCCCGGCAAGATCTGAATAGGGGAGCCTGAGTGATCCACCGCCGTCGCCCAGGAGCTTTTGTAAATATCTTCAGATAAACTCTCGTCCTAGCTCAGGGACAACAGTTGAAGACGGAGTCAACTGACCAAGACAGCATCGAGACCGGCTTCATAAGATGGAGGGGTAATGATGACCTTGCAATCGCACTTCCGAGGCAGTTCGCGCAGACAAACTGTCCATCACGCCAATGGCGGGCGGGACGGATGGATCGCGAAGATTTGTACGGTACACGATGCATTGGCACTGGAGACGCCAAATTGCGGCCCTCTTCCCCCGGGCCAATGGCGTGCTTTGCCCATTCCCCGCGCGCCTGATCGTGGAGTTGGTCGGGGAAATGTCTCCCTTGGCTTAGCCTTGTGGACGATGTCGCTTTTTCGACCAATGGAAGTGGATACTAAGCGCGTTCCAAGGAAGTCAACATGATGTTGGAAGTGTGTTCCCGTCCTCCATTCTCGCAGAGCACCGAGTGTTGAAGACGGATTCATCGATCTGCGGCTGCACACACTTCGGTTGCGCACGACACAGCACCGTGACCAGCACGAGCAGCATCATTAAGCAAGACGTGAACACGAGCCGTTCCTTCCATCTTGTCACGCCAGGTCGCCAAGAGGCACGCTAACCAGAGTGAGCCTGGTACAGGCAGACATAGCCCTAAGAGTGTTAGCGTTCCCGACGGAACGGCAAGAGTAGCGATTGGACATCTAAGCCCCCAGCTTCTCCACCAGAGTTACACCCGCAATTCTCATGCTTTGGTCGACAAGGAAGGAATGAGGTGAGCTCCTGTAAGTATTTGAGTTTCTGCCCGAATGGTGCGATCAAGAAGGACAGAATGGCTACCGGAATCTCCCGGCTTTGCTCACCTGCGCCACCCTCGGACAGGATCCACCTAACCGAAAGACCGGCAGGAGTGTTAGGTAGACTGCCGTGGCTGGCAAGGCGGGCATCTCGCAGAAAAGAACCTTTCGGCACTTTCGTATGCATTAGAAAAAGTCACGAGAGACATCATTGGAAAAGACATGGGCGACAAGACTGAAGTAGCATGTTTACTAGTTGGTAATCTTCCAGTCTGCAGACCTCGCTGGGCTCTGTCAAAATGCTAATGGAAGTACTGTAATGCGTTTTGGGGATGCAGGCAGCTGGCACTTCCTTCTGCGGCAATGGCAACATCTTCCCCGCCGGATCAACGACAAGGATTCCCGAACGAAGCTTTCTGTTTTGGTCATAAATTCAGGCACCCCAAGGCCGAAGCCCTACGCCTATCACGGCTAATTTACCCGCACACTTTTCGCATGCCCACAAATCATCCACAGAGCAGCTGCGACTGGACTTGTGCAGAAGGGGACCTCCCTCATTCTGCCATCAACCCACTTCATTCATTAGTACTTGCAGCTCGCCAGTCACTCCCATTCTCGCATCTTTATTCATCTCAGACTGTTTCATTTGCCCGACAACTTCAGGGCTTGCGGAGGTCAGTTAGGTCGATACTTTTAAGCCTTCAACCCGAGTCGCCTTCGAAGCGGGACGACAACCCGCGAACACATTGGAATTGCCCTCATTTTCCCATCTAAGCAGCAGTGCCCTGATTGGGCGAACAAGACCGACTAAAAGCAGGACGCAGTCAATCAACCATCACCATGCAGATTGCTGTTGCACTCCTTTCTCGGCACTATCGCTTGTCAGGAATTTTCGACCCCCGACTTTGCCAGACTGCAACCCGACAAAACCGCGGAAGGACACATCACTCGCCTAAACTCAAGGTAGGTAAACAGCGTCTCTCCGTGGCATCGCACTTCGTCCGGGCCCGCAGCAGCTAGGAGATCTTGGACAACATCGATGGAACAACAATGGTAGTTATAATACATATTTGGTAGCTAGTCCCTGAGCTGACATCGCTAGCAAACACTAAAAAGAACCACGCCACTGCCATACGCAACGTCGCCATCTCAGCTCCATCAGCTCCCCCTCCAGATGAATGCAGCCCAAGATGATGCCAGACCTCAGGGTGCAGCGCGCACTGGGGACCCGAACCAGAGCTGCTCAGCCCTGATACCACGGGGCCGCGGCCCTACGGGTCCCGTTTTCAATAGCTTCATTGTTCGGATCCGCAAAAGTCGGCGGCGGGGTCCGGCGCAACCGTTTCCTTTCATCAGGTGGCCCGCCCCGGAGCCCACTTTACCGCCCCCCGGCGCGGGCGCATTCGATCCTTGGCGCTATTGCTCCAAGCCCGATCGCTCATCTCAGCCACACCTACATACCTTTCTTTAGTTCTGCATCTCAAACTCAAAAACGCCTGGAACATCTGCCGAGACAAGCAGCTGCCGACTTGTAAAACACTTTTAGCAGCCACAGCCCACGGGCATCGGCCAGCTGGGTAGTCTGGCTGGACTCGACCACACCTGGGACTGGTCAGGTCAGCGACTACCGGCTCATCGAATTTGCCTCGAGCGATACGTTAGCTTGCCCTCGGATCGCTACGTTCAACTCTACACATCGCGACAAATTGACCCAGCTTCAAAGGTAAGCACTTCCTTCGGGCGCGGGCAGGTTGCATTACCTTCCAGTTGGTAGCCTGTCGGGCGTAGACATGGCTACTTTGAACTGGAATGGTCGCCCGTCTCTTTCTCTTCTCTGCCGATCTTGCGTTCTTCTCCTTCTCGTTGTCTGCACTATCCGTGATGCGATGGGCCTTAAGCGGCGTCTATCGGGCCAAGTCAAGGCCTAGAGAGGACATTAGCCGCCAGTTGGTTACATCAACCAAGTATGACGGGCCTGCCTTTCACAGACGCGCATTGAGGAGGTCTAGTTGTGAGAAGGGACGGGGCTGTACACTCGAGTACCTTGCGTGGACATCACTTGTTCCCCAATGTACCTTTTTGTCCTCGCCGCCCATCCGGTGACCAGGAACCATCGAGCAAGACCACTTGTACTGCGATACCGTTAGGTCTGCGCCGTACATTTTGCAGTCCTTCACCCCTGTCAGCAGCGACCTTTGGGTGCTATCTCCATCACCTCACCTGTCACCCCCTGCTTATCCCCTTGGGCAATGTAGTGTACATGGCACTCCAGTACTCTTGGCAAATGACCAGGGGCAGCGCCCCCCTGGCTGATGTTGAGCGTTGCCGTCCCGAACGCCTCTTCCATCCCAGAGAAGTGAACGGGGTCCAAATCTGACGGTTTACACCACAGTTACACAGCAAGAAACCGCATTTCGTTCACTGTGATCCCGGCCCTGCAACCAGCTCGACCTCGAGCTAGGCCGTCTGGTATCATGGTGGTATTACACAGTGGAGCTCAAGAAGCTCCCCATGGAGGCCCGCTGAGCCCAATTTGCTTTGCCAAAAGTGCAAGGGGGTTTTGGTAGAACTCCGTAATGTGTTCTGTACCTACACACTTCCCGTTTGCGCTGAATCCTGACAACTTCGACCAAGCGGCCGCTCTGTATAAGCCCTGCATAACAGCCAGCTTACTCTTTCTCCCATCCACGCTGGCCATATGCTTAGTTCTCAGCGGTTCTGTCAATGCGTGATTGCCAATGCTTCCAGCTAGCAAGAGCAAGAGCACGCAATTCTCGTTTGCTGCGCAGTCAAAACCAGCTCCAGATGACATAGGGATTCGTTGAGGAATCCACGTCAAGGGGGGGTCTAGGAATCATCTTACATGTTGATGCGCCTGCGAAATCGGACCCACATGGCAAACGACTCTAGACCGACCCAGCAAGGCTTTGTCCCCCCCGATTCACACCCCCATCACCCCCAAACCCCGGCAAGCAACACCGGTTTGTTCAGTCCCAAGACTCCGCACACCTATTCCTCGACGGCGGCTAGCCTGATGCACATTCAAGAGGACATGTATCATGCCTATCCACTTTCATACCCCCGCATGGTCCTCGAGCCAGTACCACAATACGTGCCGCTCGTTATCCTGATCCTGGGCTACTCTCTAGGAGCGAAGGAGGCTTGCTCATATGAGTTGCTCGCCTTCCAGTACTAGAAAACCCGTATCCTTGCCCCACGATCTGCCGTCTCAACCTTCTACTTCTTCGTTTCAGACGTTCTCAGTCTGCTGCTTGTATTTATTTGAGCTCATGTCCAAGGTACGTTTGATTCCTTTCTCGCCGCACACCTCGCATCTCCCTCCGCCTCCCTTTACATTGCTGCCAGGTCAAGGATCCGAACATCACCCTATAAGGACCTCCTGCCCTCCCCTCTCCCTCTTTTGGGCAAGCAAGTCAGCACAAGGTGGATATACCTTGCAGGAAGCCCCGCCGTATTCTGTTCCAGGATTCCTATCAAGACAAATTCTAAGTTTTTCCAAAATGAATCTAGTTGGACAGAAAGACCAGTCCTCTCCATTCACCAACAGTCTAGAAGACGACCGTCTAGGTCCAGCTTCCAAGGACCACTACATTGCCACCTCCAGTATCTGCACGCCTTTCGAGCACTTGCAGTTTCACCTCGACATGACCAACGCCCAGTATCTGATGCCGAGCACACATCAACAACCGAAGCGACTGCGTGTCCACGGCCTAACTCTCCCCGATACGGCCGCTTGTGTGAGCGGCCCACATACTGCTGCCTATTCCCCCCCTGAGTTGGCCCCATTCACTGTACGTTCGAACGTTCCATTTTCACTGCTACATTCACTCACCGGTCGGGCAGGTTTCGGGCATTTCTTCATTCAACTATCCAGCCACCGTCGACACAACCCTTCTAACACCAATCTCTGGCTCTGAGAGCCCCCCTTTAGACCAAATGTCGTCCCCAAAGATGGAGCATTACCACTCCTCTCAATCTGCAATGCCTCTCAATGAGGTACCGACGCCTCCAAACACAGGAAGATTGTATTACAGTCCCTACAACAGTCAGGGTTCTCCTTCAATGTCCGGTCTTCCAGCAGTAACAGAAGCCCATCAATACGATCAGTCATCGGCATACATGGCCCCCAACGCCCACCATGCGACGTCTCCAAAAGCCGAATTCCCACCGGGGCCTGCAGACCTTTACTTTGGTTCCTATAGCGTTTCTACCTCTCACGATGGTGAGGTATCGCATCACCCTTTTCCGGAATATCATCATTTCCCCAGCGTCGACGTAGATGCCTCGTCTGAATATTTGTATAGAACGCAACAACCTCACCTGACCGTCCATGGATCTCCAATGCACCATCGGATGGCCTCCAACGGTCAAGCGCCTCTCCTCACCCATCCCAATCCTACCCAGTACAGACCACCGTCAACCCCAAAGATTGTTGGTTTTGAGGAATTGCGCGGCGATCCCGCCCTGTTCTTACCACTATATCCTGCCCACACACCAACCATTGCTCCATCAAAGCGAAAGCGACAGGAGAAGAGCAAGAGCTCCAAACCTGGTAAAACATCATCTATATCAAAGGAGTCGCCACATCCAGGGTACATAGATGGACCTGCTGCTAATCAAGATGAGAAGGGTGTTGAGGAAGAGCTTACCCTCCATGATGACGCACCGGACGACGATAAGTTCTTGTTCCAGCTCAGAAAGGAGCATATTTCTGAGAAGGGGAAGGGGATGTGGGAAGAAATGAAGGCCAAGTACTCAGAGAAGCATCAGGGTAACTGGGAAAAGGCGGCACTGCAAATGAAGGTATCGCGCGCAGTAGCCAAGTTTGGTGTATGGCCCGAACAAGAGGTAAGCTCTGAACGACTTGTAAGGAATCTGGGAAAGGAGCAATGTTGACTGACAACCCTCTCAGATCCAACGTTTGAAAGAAGCATTCTTTCAAGACGAAGAGAAGAGATACCAACGCCTCATAGCCCACATGAAGGAGAAGGGCGGATGCAAGGTCTGGGACTGGAAGCCTCAACATATTTCGGCCATGCTTATCAAGTTGGGCCTTGAGGATGCCAAAGTAGAAGAAAAGACAGGAATCCGGCGGCGCAAGAAGTTGGAAAAGCGGAAGCATACAAGCCCGGCATTGCATGGCGGGACTGCTTACTCTACGCCACATTTTCAGCATCAAAACATGGTAGCTGGCTGGTCCGAAGGATCGGTTGGTCTTGGTCTCCGCCATGTCTTTCCCGACAATCATTCCCAGCAGCAACCCCTGATGAACACGATATCGACCAGTCAACAGCCCTCTCATGGGCAATCTTTCTACGAGTTGACGAGCGACGAAAAGTTTCCCCAACTGACTTCCGAACAGCTCTACGAAACTATTGACCAGATGTACAACGTTGCTGAAGACGAGATGTCGAGTCCCGCTTTCACAGACGTAGCAGATAGCGATGAGAGAGCGGGCAATGCTGCTACTAGCAGCGCTCACACTTCACGGCCGCCGACGAGAGATGCGCTGAACGTTTACCGAAAACCCTCTACCGCGAAGTTGGCACAACAGGCGTGCGAGCAGCTGCTGCAAGGACGGCAACAATAGTAATTACAGCAATTGCAGCAATCGGGTGTCTTGGTCGAATCTTCGAGAAGGGAATGGCATGCTTCCACCGCGGCACAGCGACGGGTGACACATTGATCACCGTGGCTATTGGCCATCTCCCCCGCCACCCCTACATGGTTTTCTTTCATTTCTGACGATCCGAATTTTCCCTTGTTCCTCCCTAAAAATATCCTTTAGTTTTCATCCTTACGCATGCTCTTCAAACATCCATCACACGTGGCGTTGGGGGCTTTCTTCGGTTTTCAACAGAGGGTGCCCGGTCTTGATTTTGGTTTCATCTAATTGGGTGGCTTTCTCTTACTCTCCTTTCTGTTACACATTCCGGCATGTTGAGGTCACCCAGCGAGATGCGAGCTCTGTTGGGTTGCAGAGCACGAAGCAAGAAGAAACAAGTGAACAATTGCGAAGGGCCCGAGCCGAGCTCAAGGGATGAAGGGCAGTGATGAGAGTAGCCCGCGTTTGCCAGCGAAATGGGCGCTACAGTTTGAAGTCGATAGCGTACAAACAATATGACGAAGATGTGGTTATTGCTCATGTCTACCATCGGAGATGTTCACGCAAAAACTATCCTGTAATTGAATCTGGTTTTCTCTCTATTTCGTTTCTTCTCCTTTTTATTCCATCCATTTTTTTTTCTTTGCTATCCCTGATTCCTATGTTCTTTTGTTTCGATGAGTGCTTACATTCTATTACTCACATTGACTGAGCACACCTGAGCCTGCTCACCGGACTTTGTTCTTGATTACCTCTAGTCTTGGCGGATGATGGGCACTCCTCTACCCTGTCACCTTGTCACTCTGTCAGGTCTGCTCCTCAACTGGATTTTCATAGAGGATCTTCTCTTCCAAAGGGCTATCCCTATTACTGAACCTGCAGAGAGCAGGATCCATCGTGCAAGATGCATGGGATGCAAGTCTTCATGCTCGCTCAAAGCCATTCGGAATAGCTTCTGACAGATTTTCCTCGAAAGGCAGTTTACAGCTTAGTACGCCTCTGGCGACAGACTTTCGGTCCCCCTTATACATTACTAATTCACAGGAAAATTACACACCACTGAGCTCGTGCAGTAACCAAGCACATACGCGAGTCGGAACCGCGCCATCGATCCATCGTCTAGGGGATACTACTTTGCTGCCTAAGGATTGTGGGGTTGCCTTTTTGAGCAAATTATTATGGCATACGATCGCCTGAACGAGAGTGCTAACATTGTGGTGGAAGCCGGCAGTTCGATTTCCGCTAGCAAGCTTTGTTTTGAGGGAGGCGAGTAGGTGAGATTATGATGCAAAACAACCAAGGTCTACATCCGTGGTTGCGAGAAGGGCACATACTTGGTCGAAGGCATCCTATTCTAGCCCGGCCGTCGGATAGAGCTGCCTGGTTGCCTGAACGCTTGTCACTTCTTTACCAAAGTTAGATAATACGTGCGACGGGAAGCTCACAGAACGTCTCGGATTGCAGGTAATCTCACGCCTGCGATCGGAAGTTTCTGGATCCGACCGCGAAAGTTTTAAAATCCAAATGATTGTGTCTCTTTAATGTTGTTGCTCAGGGTTACACAACCGGACGCGGGATATTCCATACGTACCTAGATTAGTGCCCCGCCTAGGCCGCCTTGTTTACTAGTGAGAAATGGGTCATCCCCGGGGCTAACTCCACGAGCGGATTTCTCCGGGGCCCTTCTCAACGGACATGGCGCGGGGTTTTCCGTTAGCGGGCTTACAAGTGCAGGGCCTGCTGGAAACGGGACGGAGCTCGGGGTTCGGGGTCGACACCGATCTTCTTCATCACATCACGGTACCATTCCATGCCCATGCCCAACGATGCCTCCGAAAACTGCAATAATGGACCCTGATGAAAGCTTCCAGGACACTACAGAGGGCGTAAATGATGGCTCATGCCACGTATGCACCCCATAAGACCTTGGCAAACTCAGATGGGCTAGCTATGATCTAGTCTCCCCCCTCCTCAGCGAAGCAGCAAGGGACACCAAGACAAAAATAGACTACAAGACGGAAGGAAAAAAAAATACACAGGTACGGAAAGTGGAAGTTCAGCATATGTTTGCACCCTACAAACTACCTCGGCGAAAAGTGGCAGTAAAGTGTAAAAACTACCGTTGATGTGAACTATCTGACGGCAATCACCATCCCTCGATCTAGGGAGCCAGAAGTAGGCAGATAGGTCCGATAGGTAGCAGTGAATAGGGAGGGCGAGATTAGGTGAAGGCATTGTGCTGCATCTAGATCTGCAGCCCCCGAGCGGCTCGCAAGCAAACAAACAACGTGGCTGGCCTGAAAACGATGCTCGATTTGATGGCGATTAGAAAATGTTTGCTGGGGAAAAGGCAAGACTGGATATGCCACGTGTTTAACGGCTTTTTTTTCCCAATATATAACACATTCTTCGTAGACTTCCAGCTGGTCAAAAACTGTTTTGGGGTTTGCGGAGATATCAAGTCCCTCAATGCTTAAGATACAGTGCAGCCAGAGAGAGAAAAGTCTCGAATAGAACATATCAGCTGTGAGACCTCGGTAGCGCGATGTACAGTTCCCCGCCAGAACCCTCATGTCGTTTATTAAGAATCGTCGTACCCCTTACGCATAGTACCTCTAGTTTATTTCGTTTCTGTTATGCAGCTGCGTCGGTGTTTCAGATCCGTTCTCCATCAACCAAGTTCAACCGTTGATCTTTTCAGACGAACCCCCAAGGTTCAACACAAACCCGAGGCTTCAACGCCAACCAATCACAACCCGCCAATCCGTCTCCCATTTCCTAAACGGGAACAATCGCCAAAATCTCGACCACTGCATAAGGTACCTCTAGACGTATTCAGGGCAACACACCACCACATCGTCTCAATACCTAACAACGAATACGACTCGTTCGGCAAGCGGGAAGTCATCAGTGAATGATGACAACATCGTCTTGTCAAAATCCACTACCATACTTCCACTGCTGCCAGGCAGTTGACAGCGTCGAGCTCTGATGCACGCACCTCGGGCTGCACTACATTGCACTGCACTGCACGCACTGCGGCGTACATCAGTAGAGGTCGCCGGGATACCTAGATAGTAGGTACAGCCTGAGAGAGGGACAGGCCTCCAATCCGAGCAGCTAGTCTAGGCAATTCAACGTTACACGAACCTTGAACCTAGCGTGCCGTAGTTTACCATTGTGTAACGCAAGATATGCGCTAGAGATTCAATTGATGGGGCCGTCGATGTTAGGTCCAATGGATGTGGTGAAATACCGGCGGATGCCTAGGTACCTACCTCTAGCGATGCAGACTGCAGTGGACTTGAACTTTAAGGGTCCCGCGGTACGATGATGGGTGGTACCTGTAGCCTGGAGATAGGTACCTTGGATTGCTTGGATTGTGCACAGCGGATTAAGCGCAACTCTGAAGATCAATGGTCTGGGAGGTAAATATCGAAAAAAAAAAAAAAAAAAAAAAAAAAAAAAAAAAGAATTTTGGGTATTAAAAGAAAAAGATATTGAAATACGAAATGAAACAAAATAACAGGAGATGACACCAAGATCAACCCAAGTGGACGCCGGCCTGTGGACCATGAGATGTTAGTACTTGGCTAGAGGTACATCCACGCCAGTCAACCTTCTTCTAATTTCCCTTTCCTGCTTCCAGAAATGTTTGGTCCTGGAACTCTCTTCCGGTTGTTTATTCCAGTAAATCTAGGTAGCTTCCGATCCTTCTTGGCGTAACGGGGTATCGTAATGAGTGGTTCCCAAGAGGAAAGAAGCGACACCTGAAAATGATGATTTTTTTTTGGCAAGTCTAACCACAGCGGGTCAAGAACACTTTTCATGCTTCGTTGCCCTGGATTACTTACTTTGCTTTTTCCATGGAGGATCAAAATATGGCAATTTCCATTGCGAAGACTTCCATGCTATGGCTTTGAACCAACAATGAGTATTTTCCACGTTCTAGAGTTGATGTCCGTCTGATCTGATCAAGACAGCTGAGGTTATTGACACAAATCCGTCCGGAATGCGGGATCGAATCTGCATCTGCCATCGCAGTCGGTCGTCGTAGGGTTAGCCCGTTATCCCCCTCCTCGGTTCCTTCTAACCATCTGTCAAAGATGGAGTCCCCCACGATTCTGCGGCCGTCTGTGTGACATTCCCATTCCCCGGTTGGGCACGCCTAGCGCCTACTAGGGGCCTAGGCATGCTGTGGATGTGAGATCTGCCCCGACCTTCTGGGCTGTGTCTGTGTCTCGATCGACAACTTCCATTTCTCGGCTCTTGGCTTGTCTTTCATGTACTTACTCCACGGGCCTGTCAAGGTCGGGGGGTTGTTTTGATGGTCGAATAGGGGGGGGGGGGGATTCTGAACTCCATGCCTAGCTTATGCGCAGCGATTCAGCAGGACGAACCACAGGATGGGTGGAGTTACGTACTGACGAGTCGTCGATGATGACTGCGACAGCACTGGATAAGGAATCAGTCGTCTCGACATCCTCGGTGAGGGTTATTGAGTGACGTCCCGTCTCGTACTGTAGTGCCAGGCAGTGAAATATCGAACCGTGACCTCAATGTTGTCAACAACCCCAAACGACTGGTCTTGAATAATGAAAACACGATTCTTGGAACCCGGGGCTCACCAATACCACCTACTCCATGATGAGATGGCGGTGGCTTTTAGTGCTTCATGCCCTTCTGTATTCTTTTGCGTCCTGTGACTGGCTTACCAATAGGTACCTACATATGAGATGTCACTGAACCTATAATGCAGTGGTTAGGTAGGAACACGGATTCACTTGGACCCTGATATGTGTTGCTACATCTGGGGGAGGGGATGCTGCATCTCAGAGATCTGGTTGATATTGACCGTGCTTTTGACCATATCGGTAGGGTTACGTTCGGGTTTTGGGCCCCAAAGTTGCTGGGGCCATAGTGGCGAGTGAAGGTATGGAATAGAAAACTGGCAAAGAACCTCGCAGGATGTTGAGGTTGAGTGT